TACATATATATATATATATATATATATATATATATATATATATATATATATATATATATATATATATAGGATCATAGGAGGCACCTAAATCTTACACCACAATAATCTCTCACCACACAAGAAGTTCCAAGAATCCCCTTAGGAGAAATCACGAAAGAAGAAAGCTTAAAGAAAGACCCTTCATAGCCAAGGAATTAATTAAGGCTAAGAGGTAACCCATGTCTCAACGAAACCTATTTTCATAGCTATGATTCCCCCTTAGAATTTCCCATATTATTGTGTGTTGATGATTCGTTATATTGATAATTGGTGTTATGATCCCATTGATGTTCTTGATGATCTTGACGATGATAGGTTCTTGATAATTATGGTGTTCTTGATGAGTATGTGGTGTTCTTGATGATTATATGATGTTCTTGATAATTGTAGGATGTTCTTGATATTCTCACCGAATCTTGATATTAAAAGATGAATTGTGTTCTTGTTGATTTAAAAGGGATTAGAACCCTAAGTTGTACCGTGAAACTCGTGTGGTATTATCCTTGGTGTATTGGGCGGAAATTCACATGTTTGGGTGTTAATTATGTTTAGAAAAGCATGATAGTATATGTGCCGCATGTTTCTTGATTGTGATCGGTTAATTGTCTTCGTATTGTTGTCAATTGCGTTCGAAAGTGTCTAAGCATGGCTTCGGGTTCCACTAAGGTTCCCGGGGCGTTCTTGGTGAGAAAGAGTCAGTGGGGGGTAGGTGGGGGTAGGGGACCCACCACCTACCCGTGGCCAAGATGGGCAGTCCCGGCAGCGGGCAGCTGCCCGCCGGGCACCCGCTGCCCGGAACAGTAACGCCGGCGGGCAACCGGCGGGTGAACCCTCACCCACCGGCTACCTGCTGGAAAATACCCCAACCCGGGATTTTGGCTTCCCCGTTTGATGTTCCCCCGACCCCCGTGGTGTCCCAACGGACTCCGTCTATCGTGCCTATGTCTAGTTTGATATTTCGGGTACCGTTCATAGGTCGTAGGAGTCTTATATATTGCATGCTAGTTGAATTGGTATCCCGTTGACCTATGTGAAAGAAGTATGAACCCCTTATGATTATTCTTAGTATGTGAAGGATCACGCATTGGTTTTGTTATACGTTTTCTCCCCCTTCCCAATGTGTTAATGTGGGTTGCATGTGCTTGCTATGTCTTATGTGTGCGTGATACCCCAATTTGGTTGCGATCAAATTGGCTATACGGGCAGTTGGATGGGTTGAGAACCATACTGACTGTTAACCAGGCTGGTTGCGATCGGTCAGGTATATAAATATTATATAGGGTTGCGGTCCACCGTTTGGTTGCGATCAAACGTTTCTACATGAGCTGCGGTTCATTTTCCTGGCTGCGGTCAGATGACATACTCTTGGGCTACGGTCCACTGTTTGGTTGCGATCAAACTATGATGAGCTGCGGTTCATCGGTCGGTTGCGATCGACCTCTCCGTATTGTGAGACGGGGCAGGGTGCTGCGGGGCCGTGTCAGAGCTATATGCGCTGACCCTCATGTATGGGCATGCGATTGGTCCTGTGGCGCCAACAAAGTGTGCTTATGTGATGAGATATGGATGAGTTGTGATGTGACTACGGGATTCATTATGCTCAGCCTTATCTACCTTGCCTGTTGCGAACTATATATGCTTGCTATAACTGCCGTTTGTGCTTAGCTCTATGTGTCGAGTCTATCCCTGTTTTAAAAGCTTGAGTTCGTAGGATATATCTTCATGCTCAAAATGGTTTTCGTATATCTATATATATCTCTATATATATTATATTTCAACGCGTTGGAGTGGGTTACCAGCATCTCTCACTGAACAGATATATTTGGCTTTCAGACACAGAAGAGTAGACACTGGAGCGCGCTAGAATCGTGGAGCATAGAAGTAGATAGTTTACCCTTCGGCCTGCGTGCCACGGTTATGCATTTACTTTGTTAAGGATATTAGTTATTTGGCCTGTACACCTGAGTTCTCTAGCTCAGGTGTGGCATAGCACCCCGTACTCTTTATATTATGTTTTGGGATTTAATGAGATTTTACCTTCTTTATATAAGTTTCAAAAGTTTCGAAAATCTGGGGTGTTACAGTTGGTATCAGAGCCTAAGTTTGACCCTAGGATTAGACTCTTAAGACCGGACTTTAGGACATTAGGCTTGAACTCTAGGTATTTAGGAACATAGGACTCAGGAATCTTAGGACGCGGGGTGAGATTGTGAAACCTGCCTACCATCACATAACCTCCCCTCACGTTATCCCTCACTAATTTAAAGAACTCCCATTCGCTTACCACACCAAGGTAAAGGTGCAACACATCAACGCATCGTTACAATAAATATTGGCCCTGAAAGCCAGCAGCATGGCGCCAACAAGAAGTCAGCCAAGGATCCCACACTCGTAGAAGAATGGATCCGAACCTTCAACAAAATCCTCGGGCTAGTGGAATGCCCAGAGGAACGCAGCGTAGAGATAACCTCATTCTACTTCAAGACACGAGGCTGATCTTTGATAAATCCACGAAGAACCCACTTATGGGCAACAACCGGGGGTTCAACTGGGAATGCCTAGGGGTACGGCTACGAGGACGATTCCACCCCGCACCCGTAAGGGCAACCATGTACGAGGATAGTCTCCACCTAAAAACAAGGGATGACCATTGTCAGGGAATACCACAAACAATTCCTCCAGCTGGCTCGTTTCGCGCCTGGATTAGATCCTACAGAAACAACCAAGATAAAGAAGTCTGTGACAGACCACAAACTACGAAACCCAGAAGGCCCTAATTGTAAGCAAACCCCGAACCCCTAACGAAGCCTACACCAGTGCTGCCGACCTCTATCAAATCCAACTTCTACAACGGGAAATTCAGGAACAAACCCAAAGGAAGGAGTAACAGAAGTGGGGGACCACCTGTAAAAGGGACTGGAAACGCCAATTAAATGCAAGGATGTAAAGTAACGCATAAACAACATCCTTCCTCAACCTTTAGTGCGAATTGTCGAAAAGGACTCGACATGGCAAGAAGAGGCAACAGACGCATGGAAAGTATCATACAACTAAAGCCTCCCTGCAATAAAGGTCTTACCCTGGAACAAGGACCTTGATGATTTTAAAGCACCGTAAGAAGTGCATGTGACACATAAAATTGCCAAAACACCATGCGACGTCGAGGGTAGTCAATCAAATGCATTCCAAGAAAGAGAAATGCATGACCAAGCACTTGGTCACCAAAGGATTGAAAAAAGAGTGAACGACAAGCCAAACTCCAAGAAAAAACCAAGAAGGCTTATCATTAATCAAGCAAGGAAAAGACAAAGTCGGCTTATAACCAACTACCCAGTGAAGATGACGAGGTTACTAATTGGAAACCGGACCCAACCTACTGAGCGGAAAGAACATACGAGAGTCTTGACTCATCTAGAACTCGTGCTTAAGGATCAATAACGATGTACGATGGGTCATCCTATGTATTCGAACCCCTTTGTTGTGCACATGGGCATGGGGCTTGTCGGGACTTGAATATGTGCATTCTTGGGATTTTTCCCGAAAGAATTCAGTCTTCCTAGTCACCTTCCCGCGAGTCCCCAACGGGACCTTGATGGGACCCTAACGGGTCCTTGACGGGACCTTGGCGGGACCTTGACGGGTCCCTGACAGGAGCTTGGCAGGCGGACGACCGCCCACCTCGCGCCCACTGGTGCAATATGCTGATTTCTTAACTCCTCGTTTTATTGATTCGTGGCACGCTTGTGTGCCTCGGTTGATGAACGCGAGTCTTGGGTAAAGAACCATGTGTTGCCCAAACATGATTTCCTCAGTAAAAGACCTTGACACGCGAAACACCGTCAGAAAAGCACAACCAATTGCATTACACGTGGAGTTGAAGTTGGACTCTACAATGCAACCGACTAGGGATGATTGGCGTAAAGGATTGTGCAAACCTAGGAGGCGAGTTGGGAACTCGTGCTAGGGACTCAGAAAGGCCTTAAAAGCCAAAATGCTAAGGATGGGCTGGGACCCCTTCAAACCATGGATATCATTCAAGCAAATCAGGGGGCTCCTTACAAGTTGTATGAAATCAAGAATGACGTAGTCCGTGGTGCTAGGCAAAAAGTAAAAGAGCAAATTTGTGCCAAGGCCTCAAGGGTTATTAAGGACCCACAAGGAAATGAGATGACTCGTAAAGTCACCGAGTCATTCCGCAACGAGATTAGGAAACCAACTGCGCTTCAAGAAGAAAAAGAGCATGCAAGGGCACCTTCATCATTAAAAGTAACACAAAAGGGCACAACAAGCCGAACCTCAGGGAAGACATGAAGTCTTACTAAGAATTTCATTCACTAAAGAAGAGATGAAATTCAATAAGAAGAGAAAGTCAACACAAAGTTTATCGACTCCCAAGAGACTTTGGGAAGAATTTGGGAAGCGTGCCCTAAGAGATTGGCTTGGTTGACCAAACTTGGTCAAGACCTTGGACGCATTAAAGAAGTAAGTGTTAAATCATCACGGGAGATGCCCTCAAGATAGGAGAGAAGGATTAAACTTTAGCCTGGGAAGCAAGGTCTAACAATGATCTTAAAGTCAAGCAAGTGCCAACACCAAGGAAGAAGGATCATCAGTTCGTCAATACGACGTGATCAAAGCATCAAACCAGAATAGTCACTTAAGATCGAGAACCCTTAACCCATCCTAGCCGAATTCCTTTCCCTCCCTCGGAAAATCGGCCCCCTCCTTATTTCAAAACCCTTTCTACCCTTCAAAACCACATTCTTGATTCCCTATTTTAACGATTCCATACAAGGTGGCAACCTCACACCCTAAGTCGCAACCTTGAAAACTTTGATCCTAATTCCTAAATTCACTTTGTCCTCAGGTTTGAAACCCACTCTCTTAGCCCTTTAAACCTAATCGTTCCCAAAAACCCAGCACACATAGACATACAATTATACAGTTTCCCCGTAGAATACTTTCTCTATAGGACCACCGTATTACTTTTGACTCGTTACCCCAGCAATGATTTCTAAGCTTCGGGGACGAAGCTTCTCGTAAGGGGGGGAGGGTGTAACACCCCGTGTTACGGCCTTCAATCCCGGATTAATTATTTAATTAATCCCGTTCATAATAATTAAATATAATTTAATTCAGTTAGGTTTCCCTTTAATTAATTAATAAGGTCCACCATGAACCGTGGACCCTTGCCTAAATTAGAGTCTTAAGCCTATTAGGAATAAAGAAAGTAAACCTTTTACTATTCAGATTCTAATTAGGAATCCTAGACCTATCTATTAGGAATAAAGGAAGTAGGCCTTTTACTATTCAGATATGATTAGGATTCTCTTTAATTAATTAATATGGTCCACTATGGACCATGGACCCTTATCCCTAAAACAAGTCCTTAGTCCTATAAGGAATGGAATTAGCAAGCCCATAGTATTTAGACCCCAATTATGACTCTTAGGAATATATATATATATATATATATATATATATATATATATATATATATATATATATATATATATTCCTAAGAGTCATAATTGGGTATATATATATATATATATATATATATATATATATATATATATATATATATATATATATATATATATATATATATATATATATATATATATATATATATATATATATATATATAGGATCATAGGAGGCACCTAAATCTTACACCACAATAATCTCTCACCACACAAGAAGTTCCAAGAATCCCCTCCTTAGGAGAAATCAAGAAAGAAGAAAGCTTAAAGAAAGACCCTTCATAGCCAAGGAATTAATTAAGGCTAAGAGGTAACCCATGTCTCAACAAAACCTATTTTCATAGCTATGATTCCCCCTTAGGATTTCCCATATTATTGTGTGTTGATGATTCGTTATATAGATAATTGGTGTTATGATCCCATTGATGTTCTTGATGATCTTGACGATGATAGGTTCTTGATAATTATGGTGTTCTTGATGAGTATGTGGCGTTCTTGATGATTATATGATGTTCTTGATAATTGTAGGATGTTCTTGATATTCTTACCGAATCTTGACATTAAAAGATGAATTGTGTTCTTGTTGATTTAAAAGGGATTAGAACCCTAGGTTGTACCGTGAAACTCGTGTGGTATTATCCTTGGTGTATTGGGCGGGAATTCACATGTTTGGGTGTTAATTATGTTTAGAAAAGCATGATAGGATATGTGCCGCATGTTTCTTGATTGTGATCCGTTAATTGTCTTCGTATTGTTGTCAATTGCATTCGAAAGTGTCTAAGCATGGCTTCGGGTTCCACTAAGGTTCCCGGGGCGTTCTTGGTGAGAAAGAGTCAGTGGGGGTAGGTGGGGGTAGGGGACCCGCCACCTACCCGCGGCCATGATGGGCAGTCCCGGCAGCGGGCAGTTGCCCGCCGGGCACCCGCTGCCCGGAACAGTAACGCCGGCGGGCAGCCAGCAGGTGAACCCTCACCCACCGGCTACCCGCTGGAAAATACCCCAACCTGGGATTTTGGCTTCCCCGTTTGATGTTCCCCCGACCCCCGTGGTGTCCCAATGGACTCCGTCTATCGTGCCTATGTCTAGTTTGATATTTCGGGTACCGTTCATAGGTCGTAGGAGTCTTATATATTGCATGCTAGTTGAATTGGTATCCCGTTGACCTAAGTGAAAGAAGTATGAACCCCTTAGGATTATTCTTAGTATGTGAAGGATCACGCATAGGTTTTGTTATACGTTTTCTCCCCCTTCCCAATGTGTTAATGTGGGTTGCATGTGCTTGCTATGTGTTATGTGTGCGTGATACCCCAATTTGGTTGCGATCAAATTGGCTTTACGGGCAGTTGGATGGGTTGAGAACCATACTGACTGTTAACCAGGCCGGTTGCGATCGGTCAAGTATATAAATATTGTATAGGGCTGCGGTCCACCGTTTGGTTGCGATCAAACGTTTCTACATGAGCTACGGTTCATTTTCCTGGCTGCGGTCAGATGACATACTCTTGGGCTGCGGTCCACTGTTTGGTTGCGATCAAACTATGATGAGCTGCGGTTCATCGGTCGGTTGCGATCGACCCCTCCGTATTGTGAGACGGGGCAGGGTGCTGCGGGGCCGTGTCAGAGCTATATGCGCTGACCCTCATGTATGGGCATGCGATTGGTCCTGTGGCGCCAACAAAGTGTGCTTATGCGATGAGATATGGATGAGTTGTGATGTGACTACGGGAGTTACGTTGGGGATTGTTCATGTTGGGTTATGATTATTGATTATGCTCAGCCTTATCTACCTTGCCTGTTGCGAACTATATATGCTTGCTATAACTGCCGTTTGTGCTTAGCTCTATGTGTCGAGTCTATCCCTGTTTTAAAAGCTAGAGTTCGTAGGATATATCTTCATGCTCAAAATGGTTTTCGTATATCTATATATATCTCTATATGTATCATATTTCAACGCGTTGGAGTGGGTTACCAGCATCTCTCGCTGAACAGATATATATTTGGCTTTCAGACACAGAAGAGTAGACACTGGAGCGCGCTAGAATCGTGGAGCATAGAAGTAGATAGTTTCCCCTTCGGCCTGCGTGCCACGGTTATGCATTTACTTTGTTAAGGATATTAGTTAGTTAGCCTGTGCACCTGAGTTCTCTAGCTCAGGTGTGGCATAGCAACCCGTACTCTTTATATTATGTTTTGGGATTTAATGAGATTTTACCTTCTTTATATAAGTTTCAAAAGTTTCGAAAATCTGGGGTGTTACAGGATCTTTAGTTTCGATCCCCACAAACGGCCCCAATGTTGGCTTTACGGCTTTCGAGTTGCTGGTCGGCAGGCCAACACTACCGTAAAATACTATAAACGTAGAGCTTATGATGGAAAAGGAGAGAATAATGCGGTATTATTTCTCTAGGGCTTCAACCGCTTGAGTGCCAAAGGAAGCCGAAAAAGTGATCCCTCTACATGATGATCCCAGGGGGATACTTATTCAAGAATACAAAATCCGTACCAGGAAAGTAGGGTTAACGTGGAGACAAAATCTACAAGGAAAGTATGGATGGCGTATGTGGGCGAATCAGCTATGGAAGTTGGCCGCTACTGCGCCCTAATTGCCTAAAATAATAAAGGAAACTACTTGCATTGAATGCGGAAAGTAAATCTCCGTAGAACATATCTACAACCGCTTCTGGGGAGTACTCGGTTAGGGAGTATCTTGGTTGCTGAGGAGGTGTCTCAAATTTGTGAGATTTCAAATTTCGTTCATCTTTCCTCCCTCTTTAGGTAAAACTAAGGCTTGGGGTGCTTGTTCATGCTTATTTTCACCATTTGATAGAAAATTTCGAATTCCCTCTCCCTACAGAGCTAAGATACAAATTCTTCACCATCTTTGAGTTTTTAAGCTTTAAATCTTTAAATAGCTTGTGTATTGATGAGTATATATGTGTATGCTTATGCTCCATTGTGCCTATATTGTTTGATTTCTAGACTATTTTAACTCAAGTGTTGATTTTTCTTGATCCTTTTTTTTCCATGTCCGACTTCTCTCTTATTTTGGGTAAATTTTTATGATTATTCAGGCTTCTTAGCTTTTGAAAATGGTGTGTATTACTATAGTGGTGCTTATTTCTTACTTTGTTGAAGCTTAAACTTTGAATCATGAAACACACTTATGTTTTACTTGCTTTTAGGCTACTATGAATGTGAATATATTTTTGACTTAAGTATATTTCGGTAAATGGATTTTGGTTCTATCTTTTACTCCTTTGAACATTGAACACGAAGGGCATGATGAATTTTTATTTGTTCAAAGTTTCAATTTTTTGTTTGTGCTTATATGCTTGAAACTCTTTAAAAATTGATTCCATTTGTAACTTGGTGGTTTTGCTTGTATATTTTCTCAATGTGCTTCCTTTGTTGAAAATGCCACCTAAGAAGACAATATGAGGAAACGCCACACTTTTCAAATAAGGATTGGAAGACTAATCATGAATTGTGGAAAGTGAACGCTTTTAGGAAAGATTTTTTGAGCCCAAGTGATTTTCAAGTATCCCACCTCCTCCCTGAGGATCATATAAGGGAAGTATCACTGTACTATTCATACAAATTTATTTAATGTTTTGATGACAGTTTTATTAAAACCGACGTGTTATGTTCGACGTTATATCTTATTTTTGTAGTAGTGATTGCATTCTATTAAACAACCAATAGAGTAAATAAATCTTCACAAGAGAAGGTTCAAAGGGTTACACCTACCTATCCTATGCATGGATCGTCCATCGAGCACTATTGTGTTGATATTCCAATTATCGAAAAATCAATTTTCATTCATGTGGGAAAATGTTGGAAAAATTAACTTAAAATGGCCATTTTATGGTATAATTTTTAGTACGGTCCACTTCTATTTTGGGTCGGGTCAGAGTGAATTCGGGTTCACCTAAATGAGAGGTTTAATTTGATATTATACACGCAAAAATGGATATATAATATATAGGTGAATGATGAATTAATTTTCAAAGTGAAGCCATTTGAGTTGGGAAGGCTTTGAAGGAGACATTGTCTCAAATGAGAACGGGATGTGAGTTTGCACTAGTGTATATACAATTCCCTTTTAGAAGAATTTTGAATTGTATAACATATAAGCTCTCTCACAAATGCAAGGGGGTGCGAATCAAAATTTAATCTAATTAAATTACAAGTTATGAGTTGAATTTAAAATTTTAAATTCAATATTTGAATGTCATTAGTGCTAATAAATTCTAACACTTGCACTTTTGGGTTGCTAATTTAAGAATGTCATAACTCTATTTTTTTTTTTTTTTTGAATACTATTAAGGATATGTTTGGTTGATGGATTTTGCTCATAGGAATGTGTATGAAAGTGATTGTTATTGTTTGGTTGATAGGTTTTTAGAACACTACTATGGGTTTCGAATACCCCTTCAATTGAAAAACTCATTACCTAAATAAAATAAGGGTTTCATTCCCTTATTCATTCTCAAGCACTACTATTAGTAACCATTCTCATTCCACCCTATTACTAAACATGTTAAATACTTTCACCAAAACTCATTACTATTTTCAAGTATTTAATACCCATTTCGATTCCGATTCCCATGTGCAAACCAAACACACCCTAAGAATGTCATAACTCTATTTTTTTTCCATCTTGAAAATATCATTATTCAATATCTGAATGTCATTAGTGTTAATATATAAATTCTAATACTTGTGTCTGGCAAAATGTTTTGATTGCTGATTTGAGAATGCCATAACTCTATTTTTCCTATCTCGAAAATATCATTTTTTTTGTTAAAAAAAAAAAATTACCAACCACTTCGATTAAATTTACAAAATCGTCACCTCGTTTAAGTTCACTGAAAGCATTATATTTTTGAAAGCACTGAAAGCATTATATTTGAATGCTAAAATATAATGTTATGATCCATTTTATATTAACAGACTGACTCTATAACACTCCCAACACTCTTGAGAAATAAAAAATTGGTTTTATGGAGGGTTTGCAATACACAAGACTTGCATTTCTGTTATTTGAGATTATTTTCTCAGAAATTCGATTCCTATTATTTTTTGTATTTTATTTGATTTTATAAACTTATTCTTTCTACAAGAAACAATTTCAAATTGTAATTGATGACAACCAAATCTTCTACAAAGATTGTCTAAAATAGAATTAAATACTTACTCACCAAAGTAAGCTTTAGTACAGTGTAATAAGTTATATCTGAGGCTGTACTTTTAAAAACTAAACAAAGTTTGGACACAATGCAACAAATCTTATTTTTATTAATTAAAATAAACTTCATAAAATGAATACATATTGTAAAAATATCAACTCATCAAGATCATTGTTTGATAAGAAGAACTGATGCTCTAAATGACATTGGTTATGGATTTTTGTTATTTAAAGGAGATTGCATTGGAAAGTAATTAAAAGTGGCCAACTAATCATATATGTGTAGGACTACTTCACTTCCTTTCCCTCAATCACTATTGCATGGATCATGGTCCATATAAAAAAAAAAAAAAACACATTTTTAATATATTAAGGGTACATTATTTATGTATGTAAGATACATTTTTTAAAAATACATTTTTAATATACTAAGGCTACATTATTTTATATAATGTACCTTCAGTACAAAAATAATGTATTTCAGTATAAAAATAATGTAATTTTACTATATTAAAAATGTACCTGATATTCATAGTCCACACAATAATTTGCCCTTTTCCCTTCGGCTGGCCTTAACTTAAAGTGCACTGCTTAGATGACCAGACGATTCATAAACAATGTGGGTAGACGACACATATGCATGAAATTCCATGTCCTTGTCTAAATTGCACATAACTTCATGATCCAACTCAATCCACACTTCTATTCCCCCATCTTCAGTATCCACGAAAAGAGCAAGGTTCAACAGTGTTTGAGGCATGCCAATCCATATTGGCTTGCCCCACCCAAAATCAACTTCACCAAGAGGAATTTTACACAAACTACTTGTACTCAAAACTTTAGTCTCACCTTTATTGTAATCTACTATCTTTGATTGTTGAGATGTTATGGATCTGAGAAACCCACTATCGACATGCATTTCCCTCACCTAGTCGTTTGTAACCTTGTTGGCTTTTAATTAATAGTTTTATCTTATGAGCTTGGGTGTTGGTTTATGTAAGGGTTTAATTACCTTTAGTTGATCAAAAGGGTGATAAGCTTAGTTTGTAAAGGGTGCTATTAATCTTAGGATAGGCTAAAGTTCAATTCCCTAATAGTTTAATGTATTTTGATTGGTATACCTGTTCTTAAGTGAAAGTTCGATTTGATTCACAGGATCCCTAAGATTGGCGTTGTTTTTGGATTGCTAAGCGGATGACGTAACTCATGTTTTACAAAACCTATTTTCTTTGTTGTATTATGATTTTTTTGATGTTTTTGAGTGATTATATGCATATTATTGTGTTTATGCATGTTTAGAGTTTGTATTTAGGATTTGTTAATGTTATTCGTGGAGCAATTCCATATATTCAAGTCCCTATTATTGTTGATGTGAGTTTTGATGTGTTTGGACTTGGAATTGGGTGTTTTTGGATTAATTCCCGAGGTGGGAAATTCGCCATTGTGCATGTTCCATCGGGTAGCCGGTGGGGGGTCGAACCCCCACCAAGCCACCCGCTGGTACGGGAGTCTTTTTCCGGCGAGGGGCCGGCGGGTGGTCGTCCACCCACCGCACCACCCGCTGGTACGTGATGCGCAGTGGTCCGTTGGCCTCCGTTTAGTCGATTCCCGTGTGTTGAAGTGCCTTCGTTGATGTTCCGTAAGTCTAGAACGATGTCCTAAGTACCGTAATAAGATTTGCGAGTCTTGAATCATATGTATGTAGTCTAACTTGATATTCCGTTAGTTTAAACTAAAGTCTATAATGTTCCTTATGAGTCTTATGAGTATCTTGATGTCACTTGTCGTCGTGAGCTTGTACGTAAGCGTATTTTTCTTTAATTATCCATTGAATATGTCATTGTTGAGCCTTAAATGTTATGATTGATGTCCATGTGTGATGATTGTGATGAGATTGGTGGTAATGAGCTGCGTGCTCAAAATGATTGGCGGATGATGCGCTGCGGTGCTTATGATGATGTACTGCGGTACGTATGATGATGCACTGCGGTGCTCATGTTATTGCGCTGCGTGTGCAATTATGATTATATTTATGAAAAGCAGGCGGAAAAGCAGGCGAGGAGCATGGCTCCGGAGGGATAAGGTTGGACTGGTGTACATGGTGGTCTCGGGGGTACAGGTTGGAACTGATATAAGGATGGAGCAGTGTAAAGGTTAGAACTTAGTATAAGGTTGGAACTTGGAACGTGTAACTTGGTTACCGTTTTTTATTCTTGTATCCTATTGTTGTCTTATTGTGTCATGTCTACTGGTATGTCATGAGTTTGATTAAGTTGATGAGTGTATCCACCAATGAGTCAATGATATAATTTTAAAGCTAGAGTTGTTAAGATTATACTTATGTATTCCCAAGTCTCAAAATGAATTTCTTATATCTATATATATTGTACTCAACGCGTTTGAGTGGGTTACTTAGCAATTCTCGCTAATGGTTACTACACCATATTTTTTCAGGTACAGACTTGTAGATACGAGAGCGCGCTAGACAGAACTGTGATTCCTAGTTTTAGTTAGTATTAGACTTTAGTTTTGACGGCCTGTGAGCCATTACGTTATTTAGTTGTGATTTATGGATTATGATTAGTTGATTGGTAGCCTTTGCATCTAAGTTCTTAGCTTAGATTTGGCATAACATCCTCAACTATTATGTTTAGCTTCCGCTTTATTCTTATATTAATGTTAGACTTTATCGTATCTCTTAAGCTTAAAATGTTTAAAATATGGAAAAAAAATCAGGGGTGTTACAGTTGGTATCAGAGCTTAGGTTTGAACCTAGGATAGTGCCTAAAGGACGAGACGTTAAGATACTTAGTGAAGCCTTAAGGGGATGTTTGGTTGGATGGAAAACATTTTCCATGAAAAATGTTTTCCTAAAAGTGGAGGAAAATGTTGGTTTATATTGTTTGGTTGGATGGAAAACATTTTCCATTGGAAAATGAATTCCTTGCAAAGGGGTGGGATTTTGTTTTCCACAAGGATTGTGAAGAAAAATAACATGTGTGTACCATTTTTCCCTTATAAAATTTTTTTAATTACATAGGCACCTATTTATTTATTCATCTTTTTAAGGGCATATTGGTCTTTATATTCATTATTCCTTATCTTTCTAAACCCAACCAAACAATGGAATCCATATTCTCGGTAATTTCCTTTTCATCAACCAAACAATTGAATCAATTTTCCTGGAATTTATTTTCCATGGAATTTCAATTCAATTTCCCTTCAAATACTTTTCATCCAACCAAACACCCCCTAAGTGTTAAAGTACTTAGGATATGAGAACCTTAGGACGCGCGGTGAGAATATGAGACTTTGCATATTATTGCCTAATTATTTGATCAATGTGCATTATTTGGATATTTGTTATTAAAAATATTTTGGAACTCGCAATCGGTGATTTTATTTGGCCAATATTTGCTCACTTTTCTTAATTGTAATTGTTAGGTTATTTTGATAGTTGATTTGCTTATAGGTTGGTAAGTACTTACATGAGTTTGCATGAAAGTTACGGGAAGATAACATTATTTCTTAGGAGGGGAGAATGTGATATGTGATCTTTATGGTGTCTTGAACTTTCGTTTGAGTCTCTTGAATTCCTTATTGGTCGAGTCTCCCTTGTTCCTTGTTGCTTTATGGCTATGCTTCGGAGACGAAGCATCTTTTAAAGGAGGTAGAGTGTGATACCCCGGATATTTTTGTTAGTATTAGGTTGATATATTAATATCCTTCGGAATAGTTCACTATTATTATTTCTTGGCCCTCTCCTTTATTTCTAAACTATATATTAATGACTAATTTCCTATTTATTAAACTAATACATATATGTTTCTACAGATATGTTACGTACATATACACATTGATTCCTAGATAACTAATATACATATTTACATAAATATATGTTATGGATGGATATAAATATATTTTCCTAAATATTTATTATATATGTACTTTCGTACATACAGTCCTAATCCTAAATAATATAAATATATGTACCTTAACTATGTTAATCCTATATATATTTATATGTTTACACTTAGCGTATTCTAATCCTATATAAATTATTCCACACATACATACATACATACATACATACATACATATAGGGTCGCGATCTCATGCGAACAGCCGCCCAGGAGAGAACTACGAACCATCCAGCGTGCGCCACGTGTCCAGATCAACAAATTAGATGTAATTTAAAAAAAAAAAAAAAAAGAAAAACGAGGCGCTGGCATTTACGTAACTAACTCGAACTTTGCTGCATGTAAATGTGTTATAATTGCAAGTAGTTGGTGCACTTTTGCAAGTAAAAAATGCAGGTAAAATCACTTACAAGTGCACCTACTTTCACCTACAAATGCATGTAATTTTGCCTTGTTAACATTCATGCAACTAGGTGCAACTACTTATAACTATAAGTGCACCTAGTTATAACGTCAGGTGCACTTAGTTTTGATGTTCATTATAAATTTTACTTGCGCCTGTAATATATTTTACATGTACTTATAATGCATTTTACCTGACTGAGGTGCATTATATGAAACTGTTACTTGCACTTGTTATACATTTTACCTGCACTTCGATGTTCAATTATTTACGAATATGCCACCGCATTTAAAAAAAAATTATATATATATATATATATATATATATATATATATATATATATATATATATATATATATATATATATATATATATATATATATATATATATGAACTATGGACAAATCTGGGATGTCTTTCTTGAGGATGTGAATGGCTTGGATTTCTTGAAGCAATTTGGTTTTACTTTTCGGATGTTTAATTGAGGGGTGGTGTAGTCAATTTGTGTGTATTTAAAACCTTTCTATTATTTTATGCATATGTCATGTTTGATTTTTGGTGATGAATTTATGGTAGGATTGTGTTCTTCTTTTGATGCATCATCCTTCTAGTTTTAGTGGAAGTTTCTTGCCATGGCATTGTCATATGAAGGTACAGGTTTTTTTTTTCTTTTTATTGCATCGTTGGAGTATAGTGTTGTTGGGAAGTATGTTTATTCTCACCGTTGGTTAGTTGTGTTTGTTCACACGTTACCCCGTGGTCTGTCATCCTCGCCGATTAGGTGTGGTGATCAATTGTCCAGTGCAAGGTTTTTAGAGTGGTGTTATCGGTGACAACAATGGTGGTGGGGAGGGGTGTGGTTCTTTTTGAGAAGATGGATAGTGTTCATTGGTTTATACTGTTGTATGCACTTTAGGTGTTGGTAGGTTCTAATCAGCTGCTATGTGGTTCTGTTATGGG